TACTAGTGATTGGCTACATTATCCAGTTAGTAATAATACCATGACATGTGAATCTTAAGTCAGGAAAAACTGCTATAACATCAGAAATGAATAATATATCAGTGATAGACGAACTTAGTGTTATGTTATCAGGTGCTATGAGTTGTGTGTAGCAATCTACAATAAAAACAAACATTCAAGACTGTTTTTTATTATTATTGTTGTTGTTTATATTACTTGTATCCTGTGCTATTGGATGTATTAGTATAGTCCATGATTCATAATCAACATCTGGACCTGATCCAGATATTCTAATGTTAGTATCATTAATCTTAAGTGGCTGTATTTTTCCTATTCCATCAATACCACCAGCTAGGGTCATATAATGGAATCTAACAACACTTCTGTCATCAGGAGGTTGATATACACCAATCCTGTATCCACTGGAGACATTTAATGGAGTAGGGAGAGTGAAACGATACTGTCCATTAGTTGTAAAGTTATCAGGAGTCAGTCTAATTTCAACAGACATCTCTCTAGTGTACACAGTATTCATGTTATTTGCTGGACTCCATACTTCAAATTTTGGATATAAATTTCTACCAGTACCAATATTATGAACTGTCCTTATATCAACTCCAATCAATATTTCTGTTATAACTGTAGCACACGTGAACATGATATCATTCCCCATAGAGTCCTCAATGATGATCCATCTTGTTGCAGTGTTTTCAGTTAGTCTGTTATTACGCAATGGTCCTGATGGAGATGCTGCTCTAGCCTGAAGAAGACTATAATCCATAAATCCTTCAGTACAAGACTCTCCATTAACCTACAGTAATATTCCATTACTCATGAAGCACAGCAGTATTACTAATAGAAGATAGGAAGACACAATCTTCATCTTTGGCAGCAAAAATATTGCTAACAAAAAAAAACAGTAAATGTTATTAGTTTTGCTTAGTTTGTAATGCATAAACAGTAGAGTAAAGGAAGTTAATTTTTCCTGTTACTCTACCATCTATGTGTAGTGGCAGTGCTAATTCAACTATACCCAAGTAGAGATTATTATTACTATATTAATAACTATTGCACAAATCAATAGCTGTATTTAATCTTACATACTTAATTACTGTCTTAATTGCTGTCTGCTTTGTCCACACATATCTATGTGTGGACAAAAAATACAGGTTAGTGTTTGACAATGCAATTGCAATTTCTCTGATTTTTACATAATTAATATCTGCTGTGCTGCTTAAAGAAAGTTATCAGTGAAGTGATAACTTAGGTCAAATGTTGTTATAAATCTAAAATTCTGATTTAAGCAACAAAACATTTTAAAAATAATCAATGTCTTTATTTTTACAATAATTATTGTACAATGGAATGCGTTTGTCTATCATAAATATACACATAAAAGCTCGTTCCGTATACAATAAAAATTAAAATAAAAAATTATTAACATTAACATTGTTTAATTAACATTAAACACCAAATCACATGGTAATATCAATTAAAATCACAAGTTAAAAATGCAATCAGTTTTTGTACATGTACTGTAAGTCATTGTAGAGGGAGTGGCTTGTTTCTAAAGCTCCACCCAGTACAGTAACAGGATCCTCTTTATTAATCATTAGTAATTGTTTATCAGGTGAGGATAGACTTGATGATATATCTGAGAAACTTGGACGATCATGAGTATCAGGATTCCTAAAAAGGAATACCGTACGGTTGGTAAATTTCGTGGGGTATTAATTTTCGTTAATTTCGTGGTTTATTTTTATCCACAAAATTTTAACCCCTACCCACCCACACATAAAAACTAATTAACGGGCCATGCAGAGTAGTGCTGGGCGATATTGAAAATTTTGAAATGATACGATATGATACGATATTGCCTAAAAATGAGGATATCGATATTTTTTATCGATAAGTTATTAAGCCACACCCATTAACTTTAATATTACTAAAATGGCTAAATAAAGCTATTTCTGAGAACAATTATTATTGAAAAGCATTATAAAAACCTTCTTTGGCTTCATATACTTCAGCTACTTCATCTACTTTCCAAGAAAATACATTTTAGTAATTTTCGAGATGTTACTCCTATAGTTAATTAACCATTTATTAAGGTTATGTAACCATTTTGTGGGCGTGGCCTCGTTATCAATATTTTCTTCAATTTTTTTGGATATTGATATGTATCGACACCGCATTATATCGATTAAATATCGTGAATTTTGATATATCGCCCAGCACTAATGCAGAGCTCTAAGACTATTTTCAAGCCAGTAGAGGAGCCAGAGTTCTTGTCTGTTACTCCATATTCCACCATAAGCCATGTGTTGGAAGCTAGTCCAGTAGATCCAAGTGAAAAGAAGTTTGCTAATTACCACCCACGAATATTTGTACCCACGAATATTAGCTTCTAAGGACATTTTGGAGAAAACACGAAATTTTGGACCCTCGAATATTACCAACTGTACGGTAGTAGTAATAATAGTAGATTTACAATTTTATATTAATATAGTTTATTATACAAAGTCAAAATAGGCAGTTAACAGCCAACATTCTACTTTGACTGACAAGAATACTAACAACAAGGACAAATCATTGTCCTTAATTAAAAATTTGTAGTGATTCTGACTTAAGTGCAATGAGCAATAAAATAATAATGATTTTTATGAGCTATAGCCCATGGTTTTTTTCAAAAAATGGCTCTGAAATCACCCCAAAATTTTTATTACATTTTCTGATACATATTGATGTCCTTATGCTGTGTAGAAAGTTTGAGCTGATTCTGACTTCATTTTTTCAAGTTACGGCCATTTTAAGAAATTGCCAAAATTCTAAAAAATACCCAAGGCTATAGCCCATGGTTTTTTCCAAAAAATGGCTCCAAAATCACCCCAAATTTTTTTTACATTTTTTGATACATATTGATGACCTTATGCTGTGTAGAAAGTTTGAGCTGATTCTGGCTTCAATTTTTGAAGTTACAGCCATTTTAAGAAAATGTCAAAAATCTGAAAAATACCCAAGGCTATTATAGCCCATGGTTTTTTCAAAAAATGGCTCTGTAATCACCCCAAATTTTTATTACATTTTCTGATACATATTGATGTCCTTATGCTGTGTAGAAAGTTTGAGATGAATCCCAACAAATATTTTCGAGTTATTAGCATTATAATGTATGGATATGGTACAACAGCAATAACCAACTATTGTTAAACATACCAACATTGCATCATTAGTTTATACATTGGTTTAGGACATCCTGGAGGAGGTGGTAATCTATAGCCTGAATCAACCAGCCTAATGCACTAAAATTAGTAAAATAAAAATAAAGTTTCAAAAGTTTGTAAGCATAATAATATACTTCTTGATTAGTAGAGTTTTCAAATGGTTTATGTCCTAAAGACCAAATCTCATACATTACAGCTCCATAACTCCACACATCACTAGCACTCGAATATTTCTTATAATGTAATGCCTATACATACACAATTCAATATTCTAATTATATAGTTTCTAATTACTTCTGGTGCTGTCCATT